TTACCCTATTTATCATGTACTTGTGTATCAATTTATTCTTATAAATAGAAGATTGTGAGAGGGATCATTCAAGCCCTCAAGAATTATTTCTTTTCAATCTTAAGTGGTTCTATACTTCAGAAATCATCTATTAGCAGGTCTTTCTTCATTACAAATACCAATTGAAAATCTAGATTAAGCAAATTAAGGGTGTGCGGGTATATAAATCAAGCTACTTGAAATTTGTTTGATTTTTCAGGTCTTTATTATTGGACTTGAGACTTTACATAAACATAATTACAAATCATGTCCTTTTTTTGCATAGTAAACTCTCTTTGAAGGAAACAAATTTACAATTAAACACAAGACACCTATAAGAAAAAAATGAAGGAAGGGACCTTATTATGTATTTGCAAATCTCTCCTCAACACTTCTCTAGATTGATACGGTTGAAATAATTAGTAGATCTATGAAATCATTACGTCTAAGGATAGTGCTTTTGATGTTTAATCTCCCTATTGTATCAACCTTCAAATATATAAAAAGAGAACCATGGGAAGGGTTCTTCAACCCCTCTATAAATATATTTCTCTGTTTTAATCCCAAGTTGGTATCATAGCGGGTCGATCCCGCTCCGGTTTCTGTCTCGTCTTATCCACCGACACTAGTCATCGTTGTTCGCAACTGTCCACTGCCGTTTGAGACTGTCCAACACTATCAACCACTGTTCTCTGCCTTTTTGTCGTCATTTGTCACTGTCTACCGCCTTCTACCATCTCATTTTCATCTAGCAACCATCGAATCTGGATCACCTCTCCAAGCGATGACCAACCCTGCTGGTGTTGAGGGCCAATTCTCTGCCACATGCATCATCTCTTCTACTACAACCAGGCACGTGTTGTCCACGCGTTGTCGTCCACTCATTGGAACGTCATCGCGCCACCTCCATAGTTGTCACTAGACCCATCTCTTTTGACCCTCAAAACTTCATTTCAATGAAGTCCAGGAGCCACCCTTGTGGAAATCACCTAAGGTTTTCATTTTCCCTTACTGTTTTTGCATCCCCTCACTGTTTTTTGTTCCCTTGATCGCATATAATGACTAGAAGTGTTATTTCATTCTCTAGAAGCCCCTCAATTACTTCCGAGAAGCTAAATGGTAAAAATTATCTATCTTTTGAAATGTGGTTTCTTGGCCAAGGACATCATGACTGTAAAAGGATGGATCACACCTGAGAAAATTGCTACTCCTTGCATGGTTTTCCTTTCAAAACAGCTAATATCTTTGAGGCTAAAACTACCAACTCCAAGTTCACTGAGGATGAATATAAAGAGTATCTACGGTTAAAGTCCAATAACATACTTGTAGGGTCTCTTACTAATTGGGCCAACTCCTGGGACTAGAGGAATCTGATGGTCATGACCCAGTCTGCTAGGAGGTAACTCACTAGGTTCTTGAAATAGGTCAACAAACTCATCCAACAATTTGGCAACAGCAAGAGGGACTTCAGCAACAACAGCCTGAGTAGTAAGAGAATTTAGAAGACCACCTTGGCCATCACAAACTAGTAAACATGACAAATGAATACCAGTTGCCATAGCTTTCCCCAATTGTTGTTTCTTAACTGTTTTCAACCCCAAAGAGGTTCCTCTCAATACATTTCTCCTTCTCTGGACATAAAACTCCATATACAACTTGTTAAAATTCCATACAATATCACCCAACGACACTAGCACCCCAATGGAATGAGCCACATATCATAAGTGAATTGGTTTGATGGATTGTCCATTGAAATCCTCTAACTACTGTAGAAACATTTAACTTTGTGTCATCCACAACAACCACACTCAGAGAATCAAAAGCATCTATCCTGCAGTCCAACCTTTTAGCTACCTCAATGTCCAAAAATTAGTGGGTACTGCCACCGTCAATCAGAACTTGGAGAGGCTTCTTTTGGTGTTAAAAGGTCACACGCATGGTTTGGAAATTGGCAATTCCGGTGAGAGCATGTACAGAAATTTGAGGATATGTAGAATTGGGTCCCATGGAGTTTTCAAGCAGTACTTCTTTCTCTTTATTATCTTGTAACTCATCTACTTCCATCACATGCAACTGCAGCTTTTTATGGCTTAATCCATGCTCGGGAGTAAAGGGTTCATCACGGAAATAACATAACCCTTTTTCCCTTCTCTCACTCGTATAAGCAGGGGTTAAAGTTTTAGAGGTATGTTGTTTTGATTTGAAGTAGAAATACCCCCACTTCCCGCCTTGAGGACAAGTCTGAAGCTAAGGAGGGGATTTGTTACGGGATATTTTGTAAACAAGCAATAAGAGAGTATCTCAATTGTAATTAGTCAATGGATAGTCTGTCTGTGTAATTCTTGGATCCCATCCTAGAATTACCCTAACAGAAACCCTACTAACTACATATTAAAAAGCAATAGCGAAACTCGGTATGAATAATACCCCAAGCACAAAAGAGTACCGAATCAACAAGAGGAGTAAACTTGAGATTTTCACACCAATTAGCCACAGATTTGAAAATTGAAAAGTGGGAGAGAGTTAAAACACTGGCCAACAAGTTTTATGAACAACTATTACATTAAATATTCCAATGGTTGCTGTATGAAAGAAAAAAAAAACAGAGATTTGGAATATTGAACCTCGAGAAACTGAGGACGAAGGTCTCGAATAACGGCACGAATCTTTAAGTAGGTGGAGTGAGCATTGGAGTCGAGCGGCCTCTTCTTCGTCGCCGGGGGAAAAGGAGGAGCCACCGCTGCTTTCACTTCTTCCATTGAAACAGAGCTTTTTCTGTGGCTTGGTGTCTCTTCTCTTCTGGAGTTCTAAAAGGTGACCACAAGGGTTTCACCGTTGGATTTTACAGATAGAAAAAGAAAATCCTTGAATTTGAGATTATATTTTTATAGGTAATCTATATATCAATATTTAAGAAAAACTACCATTAGGTAAAATAAAATATTCACCCTCCTTCTTTCTTATTCTGACACTTGTTCAAAACTCAAGGTTTTTGGTCATTCCAATTTTTCATTTTTGAATTGTCCATTCTGTCCTTAGCTTTTTACACCCATATCACATAACCCAACCCATTAATCTTTTTGTCTTTTGAACTTTCCCTGTTGCTTTCCGGTTCTGCACAGCTTGAATGGATTTTTGTTCTACGATTTTCTTAATCAAACACAAAGACAACGTTTAAAGTTAGTAAAAGGGTATTTTTTTTTTGTTGTAGAGGTCTGTTTGGTTTATTTTTGTTATGGTTGCAGTTCTTATTGTTGTTGGTTTGTATGGGTTGTGAATTTATATCTGTGTAGAACTTTTACATTTTGCTTGTGATTCTTTTTCTTTAGCTTTTTGGTGTAGCACTTCGTTGAAAAAGGTCCTATACGATCGGTACCTTTTTCCGAAAAGGTAAGTTTAGTGTTTGTGGTTTTGTTTCATTTCTCTATGTGCTAATGCTTTTCTGCAGGTGTCGTTTATGGTTACATTGGTGTTCTTTTGAAGTTTAAGGTAAGTTTTTTGTGTTTTTTTTCAAAGAAAAATTGGTTTTTGATTCATTTGGTATTCCTGTTGGATTCTCGTAGCAAGTGAACGCCTCTCTTCTTGTGTTGTCAACCCCAGATGCACTGAAGTCACCATATATTGCGACTATGGGGGTTTATGTATTCAAGACTGACGTTTTACTCAATCTTCTCAACTGTAGGCATCCACCTCCAATAACTTCAGATCTAAAACCATCCCTGCAGCTGTGAGAAAATTCGATTAATATATCTTCTTTCAAATGTTTTTGGACAATAGAGTTCTAATTGCAGCTATGGCAGAAGTAAACGAGTTATATGTATGTTATTTTTGCAGTAGAATTTTTTCATAGATTATTAGGAAGACATTGGAAAAATAAAATCCTCGTATGACGCTAACTTGGCTCTTACTGAAGAGGTAGGTTCAAGATATTTATGGCTGTCATTTTTCTAATTTAATAGTCTCATCCTGGAATGTTGCAAATTGTCATCATAGAATGTCATTTCTGTGTTGATTATAACTAACACCCATATGCTCTGTCGTTCTCTTGCAGAGTCACAAGTTCGAGTTTTATGACCCCAAATTTACACATCTCCAGGATCCTACCACCAACTAAGATTGACAAATGTCGGGTATGACGTTGATAAAATTCTATATTAGTAGCATCATGAAATAATTTGGAGAAAAAGATTTACATCATGAAATGTTTGCTCATTCTGTTTGTGTTGCTTTGGTAGATTATGGATGTTATTATTTCTCGTGGATGTTTCCTGCGAGAATAGATAGTCCAAGCAATATGGAGGAGTTGCAAAACGTAGCAGCTAAATTGTCAACAGAAAAGTGGTTAGATTTGGCATGTAAGTCAGGGTCGAAGCCTGTTAGCATTAGCATTGGTTACTATGTTTTGTTGTTGAAGATAATTGTTTCAATGACTATGATTCTCTAACAGTTATCAATATATATGTAAGAAAAACTACCATTAGGTAAAATACAATAGTGACCCTACTTATTATTCTCACACGTGCCCAAAATTCATGTTTTTTGGGCATTCCAATTCTTCATTGGCGAATTGCTCATTCTGATATCATTTTGTTGCGGTTAAGAAATTTGGGTTGAAAGCAACCATCCATGTGAATATTTCATTTTGTAAAGTGGATAAACTGAGAAAGGTAGATGTTTCTTCATTCTAATAGTTTTCAATTTTTCCAGGTGATGGGTCTGCAAGTTTTTGCTATGTCGTGTATTACTTTGAAACCTTTGGTTCCAAGTTTTTATGAGGGTTCACAAATTTGCTGATTTCGTTGTTTTACTCGGTTGCTTCAGGGTATATTGTTTACTTTGCTGTGTTAGTTCTTTTTTCGGTAGGTACAACATATACTTTTAAAAAAGAAGGAATAAGCACTTTCATTTCTCATTCACATTGATGTTTTTGTGGACACTCTTCCTTTTGCTTATGATTATTAGTCTAGAAGAGCCCTTTTATAAGTGATGGGAAGGGGTCTCTTAGCAAAAGTACAGAGCTAAATGATGCAAAAGCAATAACACAAATTAAGGTTCTAGAAGCTAGGTAAAAAAGGATCTCTTGAAATGGAGAGAAACCTAGCCTCCAAGCCTTCCAAAGCGGCGCCTTTGACCTTCTAGAGGCAAGGCCCAATGCTCTCCAAGACTCCAAAGGTGCTTGGCTCCAAGCCCAAGCTTCTCCTCCACTCCCATTAGTGCTATCCTTTTTCAAATTGGATCTAACTTATTCTTACAAAACAAATAATTAAACAAGAAAATCAACCCGTTAACTCAAATCAAGTTAACAAGATCAACTCAACTTAATCAAATCAATAAAATCAACTTAATTTAAGTCGACAACAAGAAAAGTCAACACAAAATTAAACCAAAAGAAGATAAACAAAACTCTTCTTTTAAATATGTTTATTTTTCTTAAGAATGTGCCTCCATGGTAGGGGTTTGGAGCTCGTCATTTACTGTCACAACAAAACATGATTATGTCAATTGAGACTTCAAAATGTTTGAGTAATTCTAGCTGTCAAACCATTTCACTGGCTACTAAGGATTAGGCAAGATATTCTAATTATGCTAAAGACTTGGGCACAATACCTTTTTACAACTTTTAATTGCCCCAGTCTATCATCCTAATTGAAAAGATGCAATTTTGTGTTAGATGGAAATAAGAGACATTTACTTATAGTGAACTTTAAGAACTATATCAGGTGATCGATGCAGTTAAATGTATGGTTAATGAATTCTCTATGTACTGACTTAGTTTGTGTGCAAAGGTTTTGGTCTTGAAATAGTGAAGTCCATGAGTCTTCGAATTAGTTTTTATATACAGAGGAATCCTGAGTAGGTCATCACGATTAAGTCTAAGTTGTAAACTATGATTCATGAGTAATGTGATTGGATTGCTACTAAGATACCAGTGTCATCAAGCAAAGTCAGAGCATATTTTCTTTTATACTCAAGGAAACACTCTTGTATTTGACAATTTCTAAGCCTAAGAAGCATTGGAGAGAACCAGAACCTTTATTTTGAACAAAGAACTTGATGTACTTTGTTAGCTTAAAAAGAATTAGGGTATGCTAGGATTATGTCACACACCGTTAGCCAACAAAATCAACAATGAAGAAATTGATCTACAAGTGAATAGAGAGTAAAATCATGTTGTAATAATGTTGAGGAGAACTTGCAGAACCATCATCAAGAGGTCTGTCATATATAGACTTTAGTTAACTAATCCTTTTGTTGTTGGTTTGTAACTTTGGAGAATATTCATATATACTTCTACAAATATAACTCATTATTTAAGAATGTATTCTTGATATATTGTGGTGGATTTGTATGATTTGTGTCTCTAAAAAACTTTCTTATAACCACCAAAAGTGAAGGGAAGTACATGAGAAGTAAATTTCTTTATGAAAGAGAGAAAGTTGATGTATAAATCAAACAAGAATTGGTATTTTGAAAGAAAAAAACAAGATTTGTATTAACGGTAAAGGAAACACAACTAATGAATATATAATATCTGTTTTAATTAGTTATTAAAAGAATAATATAACTAATTAGGTGAGATTTTCTCAGTGATATATCTATAATATTAAAGAAAAAAAAGTCAAGGAATGAGTTGTATAATTACCCACCGGAATCAGTGATCCAATTATCTTTAAAATAAAATTAGCAGCAGAAAACTATACAATTAGAAAGAAAAAAACAAGGTCATAATATAAACATAATCATAAGGTTTATGGTGTAAACATAAACATATTCATACTATTAGAAATAGTCTATTAAACATTAAAAATTTCATTTCTAATAGCATGAGCTAAAGAAGTAGAAGTAAAATTATTTATTAGTTAAAATAGAATTAGATATGATATAATAATAATATACTAATAAATAGAACAAATTTGAACAATAAGAAACTCATTTGCATGACCTGTCTTTGTTTGAAACTTTAGAAAGAAAGCATTCCAGGAAAATCTAACCTTATTTTTATTGTTTTTTTTAGAAGTTTCAACAGTGCCCTTTGTAAACAAAGAAATTAATCACATTCTTGGTTGAATTAACTTTCTCATCAGAAAACATGAGCAAGCATTACGAAAGTCCATTCAAACATCACTTCCACTCTGTGGTCAGTTTTAGTTTGTGGGTACTTCTATTTTATATATTACAAAATTAATTTTTTCAAATTTAAACTAGATGGAGGTTGGTAAGGGTAATTTTGTAATAAATTTAGCTAATTCGGTGATCTAAAATCATAAAAATAATAGTCAATAACTTGTAATGATAATGTTGTAATAAATTTAGCTGATTATGTGATCCAGAATCATAGAAATAATAGTCAATAATTAGCCTAACAACGCCGCCACCGTAAATGAAGACTTTATGGATCATCAAATTATTGAAGTTATGTGCACGACGTGTTTGACTAAACCACTTGTGACTCCATCGAATTAATGAAGCTATCTTTAGCATGAAAATTAGATACAATGAAAGGTAAAACATTTAATGGCCACAAAGTAGAAGTAAATTAAGATTTAGAATTAAATTTGCCCGAAGAATTAAAATACACTTAAAATTGCATAGCAAATAACAAAATTAACACATAAAAAGTGAATTATAGTTGAAAATAAATTATTTTTATAGTTAATGAATGAACATATTTTTTTTTAATTCTATACAAAGAAAGTAGATATTGTAGTAAAGTTGAAAAATATTTGAAGACAAGAAAAGAAAAACAGGGACTCATTTATTTACACAAGCACTCGGTGGTTATAAATAGACCGATTCTTTGGTGGTAAAAGAAGAGGCACTATTGGTTAGAATTTGTAGTGAGAGAAAGATGGATTTAAAGACGAAAGGGTTGCTGAAAGTAGCTTTTTTTATTTTGCTCCTAGGGTTCGCCGGGACAACAGTTGATGCTCGCTTCGATCCGAGTTCCTTAATCACTCAGTTTCTCTCCAAAGAAGATGTAAACCTGTACGTGAAATCTACAGAGAAAGCGTGTTGTGACACCTGCCTATGCACAAAATCAATTCCTCCACAGTGTCGTTGCAATGATGTTGGAGAAACTTGTCACTCTGCATGTAAAAGTTGTGTTTGCACCAAATCGATTCCTCCACAGTGTCGTTGCCAGGACATAACCGATTTCTGCTATAAACCATGTCACTCAGATGAACCCAAGCTATCTGGTAATGGTCAAACATAACTCAGTATGGCTTCTCCACCTCAAACCGGTCATAGAGTTCACCTACTTTTCCCTTTCTGTATGCATGCATCAACATATAAGTAATAATTATATATATCTAAATAAAAAAATACTTGACTAAGTATTTGTTTGAATTGCTGGTCATGGTGCTTATTTTAGTTGTGTCAATTTTCTGCTTTCTATATATTTCTATATATATCTATCTATCTATCTATATATATATATATATATATATATATATATATATATATGTGGTGGGACTTTTAAAGGACTTAGTCTATGTTGTGATACTCTTTAGCAAATCCTATGTGATATTATTAGGACAAATTTAATATACTGTTTTTAAACAGCTGCAAGATTTAGAATTAGTTTGCTCTATACTGATATTTGAAAATGTTAAACTTGACATTTTAGTTCTTGAAAATAACAAAATTATAAACATTCTAAACAATCGTGATTCATCTTTGTTCAAACTCAAAATATCGTCTAATTTTAAAGTATAAGATGGATATATTTTTAATAAATAAAGACAATAAATAATTAAATTTAAAGACTAAGAGGACAGCTAAACTTTGTTTGAATTTATTTAAACATATGACCTCTTTTATTTTGAGGACTAAAGAAGTGGGTTGGCCTAAACCTAAATGAGAGAACTAATACAATTTCCTTTTAATTTTCAAAGACACTTGCAACTTATACAGGTTAATTAACAAAAACCTCAATATTTTTACGAGAAGAAAATAAGAATATATGTTGAATGGCTATTTCGTTATTTAGCTGTGTAAAAATCACTATTTAATTGAAATATCAGGCAGTCAAACAAACCACAGATCCGAAGAAACAATATAGATAATATAGATCACGAAACAAGACATGGTATAGGAATATCATAAATTACTTCAAATGCATGAGTTTCCTTATTGAATAAAAGTTTCCACATAAGATACATTTGCTTTCAATATTAAAATCTAACCCATCTCAGAACCATAAAGTGTCTTGTATCTTAAAAGGAGTTTATTATTAAAGAAATGTTTAAGAACTCATACATTATTAAGAGGGGTTTAAAGCTTCGTAGGATTACTTAGAAACTTTTCCAGCACGATATTCAGCCTTTGACCTACCATAATAGACAGGTGGTTTTCCCAAAAAGGTGATAAAATTCCAGCCAAATACAGATGCTCCAACTATGTATGTCTCTGGAAGTCCATCTCTAAACAGCTTCTGAGAGCCAGAAACTGATGGTGGATCAAGCTTAATTCCAGATCGTCGTAGCTTCTTCCCTTTCGGTGAAAAACCCTCCGCTTGCAAGCTTTCATATAAATTAGTTAGCATCTTCAACTCTGCAATTGAAGTCAAAAGTCATGTTTCAACCTAGCACATGGAGTATTTTTACACGGTGACATCATCAGAAACACTAACACACCACCCACACCCATGCAGACAGCAGAATTATTTATGCTCAGTGGAGAAACCCGTATAAATAAAATAGAAATAAGTCAGAAATAAAACAAATATATCATTAGCATTTGACTAAAGGAGCATAGGTCCTACCTATATGCCAATCATAAAACACATGAATCTCCTACATATATAAATATATAAATATATATATATATATATATATATATATATATATATATATATATATATGTGTGTGTGTGTATATGTGTATATATGTATGTGTATATATGTATGTGTATATATATATGATTTGATTATGTAATCAATCATGAAATGAATATAACTTTGTCAGGATGAGCTTACTTTCTTCAACATCACGGGATGACTCGCACTTTTTGATGTCAGGATATTTGAGAACCTTCAAGATCAAACAGCAATGTCAGGAACTTCATCCAGTGTTTCAAGTGAAAAAAAGGCAACTACTCTACACACCAGATAAAGGGAAAGAAATACATTGGAAATTTACTCAAATGATCTTAACTATTAGGAAAATTATTCAATAGTCCATGCGTATATCCAAATCAGGTTCAAAGATAATAACTTACTAAAATACTAACTGAAGAACTCATAATACCACCTTGCATCAAATAAAAGAAACTGGTTACTCAGTACATGGTAGTATAGATCAACCTATATAGTCAATACATAATGATATAATTCATGTCATGAGTTAGTTAATGTAGCATCTACTCAAGATGTACATTCAAGTATGCAATGATAAGAAATAATCTCACCTTCTTGGTTCCGACATGACCAAAAACAAAAAATAAAAGAGGAAAGTTCCAAATTTTTTCCATAGTAAACTCTCTTCTTTGAAGGAAAGAATCTTACAATTAAACACAAAAAATGAGGGAAGGGACCTTATTATGTATTTGCAAATCTCCCCTCAACTCTTCTCTAGATTGATACTATATTAACCCAAACAAAGATGCACATGCAAAAACTATATAAGACAATTTTAACTAATTAATCTTAACTTATTCAAAACATCGAAGAAGATCCCCAAATATTAAAAAAAAGAAGATCACCAAATATTAAAAAGAAAAAAAAAAGAAGATCGCCAAATATTAAAAAAAAAAAAGATCGCCAATATTAAAAAAAAAAAGATCGCCAAATATTAAAAAAAAAACATCTCCAAATATTAAAAAAAAAAATCTCAGAATATTAAAAAAAATATATAAATCGTGAGTGTAAGGTGGAAGAACAGGTAAGAGGAGTAATGAAAAGATCTTGGATCACAGCCATATTTCAATAGCTTTACTATTTGACACTTCAAAACGAACACTTTTGACATTAAAAGAGCTTAGAAACGCAAGTTACTTTGAACTACATGATACTGAAAACGATCTAGTTGCTAGTTCAGAACTTTAGAACTGCATGCAACTATTTTCAATCGGAACATCTCTAACTAATTAATCTGTTCTACTAAAGAAATGATATCCTATAACTTGGATCTGGTGATGATTACATATTTACCATAGTTCCAGTTCCTTAAGAGTGACATGCAAAACTTCATTCTTTTCTTCAGATTTTCACACCAAGATTTGAAGATATAGAAGAGGGAGAGAGTTAAAACACCAGCCAACAAGTTTCATGAACAAATACTACATTAAACATTCCAATGGTTGCTGTATCAAAAAAAAAAAAAAAGAGCAGAGATCTGGAATATTGAACCTCTATAACGTGATGACTAATCTCTTTAACAAGAGCACGAATTTTCACGTAAGTGGGGTGAGGATTGGTTTTGAATGACCTCTTCTTCGTCGGCTGTGACCTCTTCTTCGTCGGCGAGGGCGAAGGAGGAGCCACCGCTGCTTTCATTTTTTCCATTGAGACAGTTTTTTTCTGCGGCTGAATGTCTCTTCCCTTGTCTGGTTTTTAAGAAGTGACCACAAAAGACTTCACTGTTGGATTTTATAGACAAAAAAATAAACATCCTTGGTTTTGAGATTGTCTTTTTAGGTTAATTAAATTTGAAGGTGAGAGAGAAGTCACCTCGGGAAGATAAAAATAATAATTTAAATATTTAATGAAACAATTATTTTAAAACTTAAAACGTAATTAAGTTTTAATTACATATCTTACCCCTCCATTTTCATTGTCTAGCAATTTTTATTATTTCAATTTTATTATCATGTTATACAATTTTCCCATATTTTACTATTCTTTAAATTTGTAGTGGCATCCTGACTTGTCAATAGAAATAAAATTAAAATATCGTTTTATTCATTTGTTTTAAACTTATAGATGCATCGTTATATATTTAATGAATGGGTTAAATTTAATGTGTGAGAATTAAAATATATGAAAAAATAAGCAATAAACTTATAAACTGTAATAATTTAGTCATAAAATGTAATTGACTCAAACAATAAAGTAACTAATTAATAAAGTTTATCAATTTTTAATAACTTATCTTTATCTTCCCATCTACCTATATGTTGATAAAATTGATGCTAAAGAATATTTAGATAATATTTTTAAATGATGTCATTGACAACCTTGGAGGTAATTTAGTGTATACAATGTTTTTAAATTACTTGACTTTACAATTACATAGGGTATTAATTTTGTTTTTAATTTTACCCAAATGATGTCATTTAGGGTATATTTTTAAATGATGTCCTTTTTTAATTTTAAATTGTGTATCATTGATTAACTTTAGAGATAATTTAGAGTGTATTTTATGTTTAAGTCATTTGAGTTCATAATTATTTAATGTATCGCTTTTATTGAATTTTATTCCAAAATAATGTTTGAAATACTTTGTTACCTTTTGTTAATATTTTTTTCATCTCTCCATATTTTTTTTATCATATTTTATATGTAATTAATATTTTTTTCTTTTTTTTTGTTTTTCGAACTTCTTTAAACATCTCTAAAAAAACCCTAATCTCTAAAATAAATTATCTTATCTTATTTTATATCTATTCCACAAAATACTTTGTAATTTATTGGTTTGCTCCACATAAAATTTACTCTATTTTGGTAAGGATGTTAATTGGATCAGGTTTTATATGATAATCCAATTTAACTCAATTAGATTAGGTTGAGTTTCATTTATGTTCAGCTCAAATTTGACCCAATCCAATTAACATACTCTTATAGAAATTTGGTGATGGACTTAATATTGGTTACTCAAAACTCAATCTTTTATTTGTCTCACATTCCATAATCCTAAGTAAACATAAAAACTCTCATGACCTCCGTCTGCAACATTCAACTTTGTTGCATCTCAACCCTAACATCAAAAACAAAACTAAACATCCTTACATCAACCCTAGCATTTTCAAATTTTTCATTCTCCCCCACCATTTTCCTTCATTATAATTGTTTGCCTTCGTTATTTAATTTTTTTTTGTTAGTTTTGTTCACATACATTATTTGTCTCTATCACCTCTTCTCCAATCTTATGTGTTTTAAGTAAAATGTTTTATATTTTCTAATTTTTCATTTTTTTAAACAGAGTTGTCAACTTGACTCCTAGTCTATGGACTGGCTCTAACCTATTCTTGAAAAAGTATCTTTTTAGGAAGCCTCTCAGTGGGACCAAAAAAAACTCTAACTTCTCAAAATCCCCTCTCAAGTGAGTTAGGGTTAGAATTAAGGTGGGTTTAGTCCCATCACAAAACTTTAATTCATTTTTAGAAACTATATTATTTATATATACATATAAAATTATATATTTTATTAGATAGTTTAATATGTTATAATTTTATTAACTTTAAATCAATATTTTTATATCATACTTATTATTATGTTATTAAATAAAATATGTAATAACACTTCATACTTTTTTGAGTTTTATATTAAATAACATATATATTTTTATATTTTTATATCATACTCATATATAACCATCTTCATCTATGAAATAATACTTCATATATATATTTCTCATATATCGTCATACGACCACATCAAATATTTAATGATTTTATTAATTACTAATTTCTGTTAAAAAAACTTAATCTATCACTTCTAAAGTATTCTCTAACTAGTCTTTGTCAAAAAAAATGTTTATGTTAAATAAATAAAATGATTTTTCTTTGTCTTAATTAGGTTTTAATTTTTTTGAAATCAAATAAATAATTTAAATGATATAAATGACTTGCTTAATTAATAATAAGTAATTTTTTATATTGTGATAAATAATTGATTTTTTATATGTTATGTATTTTTTATAACATTTTAATAGATTTTTAATTTCTTTTAATTCTATAAAGAAGAAAATCAACATGGTTAGAAATTTAAGCATAAAAGATAAAAGTTTTATGTTAAAACACAATAAAAAATAAATAAAATTATATTTTAAAATTTTGAGTTAAAGATAACATTTTATATTATTTTTTTTATTTACTTTTTTCTATGATGATAAAACATATACTTTGAAAGCGAATCAATCAACATAAAGAATAATTGAAATATATATGCATGATTAAAAAAATTACAAGAGTAGAAAAATAAGAAGGGTTAAATATGTTTTTAGTCTCTAAACTATTGGTCGTTTCTGATTTTCGTCCCTCTTTCAAAATAAGGTACAATTTGGTCCTCATTCTTTTCAAAATTTTGGTTTTAGTCCTCGAAAACTAACACCGTTAAAAATGTGGTAGTTTTCGAGGTTAGTTTTCGAGGACTAAAACCAAAGTTTCGAGGACTAAAACTAGAGTTTCGAAAA